ATTTTCTGAACCAATACTTTAAAAGAGTTATGCATAAGTAAAAGATGTTGTCTAAGCTTAAAATAGATAAAAATTTTAATATAAATGAGTACAGAAAGTTCAGTGATATGGTTCCAGCTTTCATTCTACAATTAACCTTTAAGAACATAACAGTTTTTTATTATAAAGGCCCAAAAACATGAGTGTATCAAGCTCATGTTTATTCTTAGACTATTTCTACTGATGAAGTATTAATTTTCTGATTTTTTATGTATTTATTTTATTATTTTTTTAATTTTAGGGAAGGGTCTACAACGTGTTCAGGGTCTCACTACTAGAAAGAACTCTAAGTGATGTGTCTGTTTACAGCCTCCCAAGTGCTAGGATTACAGGCATTCATCACCACACCCAGTCTCAATCACTGTCTCAGCACGCCCTGGGGGTGGGGCCGGCACAGCAGGCCCGGGGATTGAATGCCCAGGCCCTGTGTCTGCTTGTGGGTGCTTTAATCTGCTGAGCTATTTGGCCGGCCCTTAATTTTTTTATATTAAACAATGAGTGATTAACAAAAAAACATAGAACATTTCATCATTAGTATTGACTGAGTTTTATAAAATGTATCATAATTTTCAACATCAACTGGTTTTTGGTGTACAAAGTATGAAAAAGAACAATAGAAATAAATTCTTAAATGAACTACAGTGAAAAAATCAATAGCACCTACAAAAAATATTTACTTCAATTATCACACCTAAGGCAGTCTTCACACATGATAACAACCCATACCATACACACGTATCACTTACACTGATAGCATATGTGTTTCGCTTTCCTGCCTTTTTGTGACACCGTGACTTACTTGCCATCTCACTGGTTTTGCTATTTTGTACAAAGGTTGTTACTATATTAAGCAATATGCAGTTAACAGGAACACAAAATATCAATAAAATAAGTATTAAATTTTAACATGTATTGTATATCTAGAGTAAACATCAACATTTTCATATCAGCTGTGTACTTCCTTATGAAACTTAAAAGATAACATCAGAAATAAAAACCTCTTTGAACTACAGTATAAATACAAACAAAAGTCTACCACAGAAATAATCTTTGCCTCAACTGTCACTCCCAAAACAGTCATCACACATGAAAATATCATGTTCCATATAAAAGTCTCACTAACCCTGATAGCAACTATGTTTTATTTTCCTGTCCTTTCTCATTAGAGCACAGTTGATATCTTTTTGGTTTTCCTGTTGTAATAGGTCC